GCTCAGCCCCACCCTCGGTCAAACACACAGACCAGCAGCGCTTTAAACAAACAATGAGCAGAGGAGAGAGACGGAGACAGTGAAGTTACCTGTGCAGCATTCGAATGTTCATTCACAATTCGAATGTCAACGTTATGAAATGAAGCTTTGAAGCTTTGAATTATTCAGTACAGCCCAGCTAAACACAAACTTCATGTATGTGAGACATGAAGTTTGGCTTTTAGAGCAAACCAAAAAAATCATTTCATCAAATCAATTCATTTAGAGCTGAAACTGTTAGCAGATCAAAAATTACTTTTTATTAATCCTTTGCCAAACATTCACTTGTTCAATCTTCTGCATTATGAGGGTTTGCAGTTTCTCTTTGTTCTTTCTTATGGGATTGTAAGCTGAATATCTCTGGCTTTCAGACTGTGAGTGGAACAAAACAAATGACTGTGTATTTGTATGCCACATTGGCCTTTAGGAAATTGTAATTTATTACTATTTTCTGACATTTTAGACACCAAAAGATTAATCAATGATAAAATAAGCCTCACTTGCAGCCCTAGCTCATTTTATAAACAGTAAAATCAGCTTTACTTGACTAACTCCTGCTCACCTCTCCATGATTGATTGGCACTCCTTCCTCCAGGTGAACCTGCTTCCTCTACGCAGCCTCAGAGGCCCGCCCACCATCGCTGCTCTGTCGCCAGCCATGATCCCTGTCCTCCAATCAGGTTCCTCCTTCACCAAAGACCGCATTGATAAGGTGGCCCCTGAAGAACAGAGCACATGCCACAATTTAACTGTTTGACTTAACTGACAGTGATGGTGTTTTAGGGTCCAGCAGCCTGTTACACCAGCTGAACAAAAGCTGGATCACAAATCAACACTGAAACTAATTAGTCTCATTCAGAACTCAGTTGTAACGTGTTATTAAGCTATAAGCAAACTACCTATGGTATTTCTAACATTGTCCCAGAGAGTGATGCTTCACCCACTGCATCATTCAGGTAATATGGGACTGAAAGACACCAACTAGTGACAGAAATGAAGACCTACAACAGACTACTTAAAGAAGGGAGAAGGTACTGTGTGCTATCTCATTTGAACTATCTAGGAGGTTTGTCCATCATTTATCGATCACTTCTGTTGTACTTTGATGTTACATGGACACTTATGATAAACCATAACAAAAGTCAGCAAATAACTCCCATCTTGACCAAAGATGAACAGTGAATAAGATGCAACTGGGTGAGGGCGAATGGCAATTCTCCATCTCAAATGAACGCAGCATAAAAATCACACTTTCCACCACGCACCACATCATCTGTTCCAATTACTGTACAATGCAAAGGGTCACAAAGGTCACGTCTATTTCACAATAAATATAAACAGTTGTAGTACGTCACAGGAAATGCACTCCTGGTGTAAATATCAAAGAAATCGTTCCTCTGGCTCTTCTAACATTGCCATGTTAACAGTTACTAAGGACTCACCTGCCTGGGAGGTGTACATTTTAGGTGTTCTGCAGGTTTTAGCCAGGTTCAATTTAAGACCTTTTTAATACACTATAGAACACAATTTAATACCTGCAAAGTACCAGAGTATGATGGAAGACTTATATGGATTACATGGCCTAAAGTGTTTACTATATCACATCTTTGCTTCCCAGCAGTACATAAGAATAATTCCTAACAATGTAATTGATAACCTTAATGCAACCTGGACCCCAGTAAGTGGCAGAAAATGGATGGATGGATTAACCGATGAAAGATCAGTCTTTGCTTGAATCAACATTTGCCCATTATGAGACGATGAGCTTGCTTGATGCTGTAGCTAACCGTAGTGAGAGGTCAGCTTCCTGCAGCACAATCCGGTGTTGGAACAATCCTACTTTTAGTTTATAGGTGTATAACGTCTCCTGCCAGACCACAATTGGATTAAAAAGCAAACACTAAATTCAGTGCTTTTTAAGGCGTGTTAAGAGCTGCAGATACCCTGTTGTATGGTGCGTCATGTTATAGAGAATCTCCTGCACTACGGTCAAACTAAGCTACATTGGACCTTATAAACAGCTGGTGTGACTTCCTGCTGATACTATGACCGTCAAGTCAAGAGGATTTCAGCAGTATGGAGCCGTTTCATTTTCAGCATTAGAGGATCAATCCTGTCGTTTATCGCTGCCTTTTGAGAAATTGAAATGCATCCCAAGCTGAAGTAGCTACGGGGTAAATGGCATGCTGTTTAGCCGATGTGCAGGCGTCTTCTGTGGCAAGCTGCTGAGGCCGAGGGGGGGCAGGGAGGGCGCGGTTACCTGGCTGGGCCTGGGCGGCCGCGGCAGCAGCAGTGTACCACGGCAGCAAGTGCATCAGCAGCTCTCTCTGCCTGCTCCACACTGGGTTGGGGTTGAGGTTGGTGTTGGGGTTGGGGAGGATGTTGGGGAGGCTGCCACTTGCCCCTGCTACCGTCACGTCTCTGTCCCCTCCCCTGGCCCTGGGCATGGGACTCACGCTGTGCTGGCTTTCACTCCACCTCAGCCCTTCAGTCGGGACAAAACCAATGGTCAGGCAGGCCACAGCCAGGGATTAGATTATTGACACCAGTTTTGGCTAATGTAATTGGAACCTGAGCGTTAACGGAGTTAACTGACAAACTCCTGTAAACCTGCCTGGCAGTTTTCAGTCATAATTCATTTTTTTCTTTACAGTGTATCTGCCAATTGAAAGTCCATTTGACTGACAACACTGCTACTTTTTTAGAATCATGATGGGCAGGTCAATAGGAGCCTATATCAGAAGCAAAGCATTGTAGCCACTGAGAAGATTAGTGATTGTTAGTATCAGTATCTGTTTGTTAGCCATGTAGGAATGAAAACCAGCACCAGAGTACCTCCAGCATCAGGGCTGAGAACTACAGAGGAGCTAAGGCAAAGCTTGGGTGGGTGGGAAAAGAAATAAAGGGTTAAGATGAAGGGAGACAGCAGGGTCAGCAGATGGTCCATCGGCAGCTTTGTTTATTTAATAGAACTGATCGTGTGATAATGTGACTTTTTGACTTGATTTATTGTGAACGCATGCTGTCGCTGTTTAAAACCAAATTTTTTAAGCATCTGTATCCCTGTATCCCTAGGACATGGAGAGGTCAGCACCAACCCAAGCTGTTACTCTACCCTGTACAGACAAACCGCATTCACCCACTAAAGTTTCATTTCCAAACCAGAAGCCTTAATATTATTGATTAGCATCTCCTGTGACAGGACTACCTTTATCATTTGTCTTTCCTCTGAAATTATAGATTTGTCTCGTGTCCTTCCTTGACCTCACAGCCCTCGAGGACCAGGATGGAGTTAGCGTGAGGGATCAGAGGTGTGTGGGTTTACCATGCGGGAAGATGGGGGTAGAGAGGAGGACAGATGGAGGGGGAAGGTTAGCAAGCAGTGGTTCACATTCAAGAAAGAAAAAAAAAAAATTTCATACGAGCCTTCCTTCCTACATTATCTAATCTATAATCTATTTTCATTAACCTGACATTCACCTCTGAGGCGCTGATCTGTACTTTCTCATAATTAGTCTTCCTGTTCCTAACATCCATCATCCCTGCAATGATCTATAATCCTCTCCTCTGTCATTCAAATTCTGCAAAATAGCCCTCGTATCTCCTGTCTAACCCCTGTACCATCCTGCCCTGGGTCTCACCTGGGTTATTCCTCTCCAGCAGGTACCAGCGGTAGAAAGCTCTGCGTTTGGAGTCGCTCATTTCCAGACCTTGCTGCAGCAGCCACTGGGAGATGTAACTCTGGCTGATGCCTGTGTGCCAGAGGCAAGGCATGTTATCGTAACACATTACAGACATTGATTTATTTCATGGTGCACCGGTAGCATTTGTACTGTTGAGACGGGCTGTGAGCCAGCTCTAAAATACTCCTGTTAAGCTAATGAAGCCATTGCAACATCAATACTTTAATTAAGGACATGTGATTTGGTGCAATGCTTTTTCAGGAAGGGACAGGAGAAAGAAAAAGTGAAAGAAAAAACATGCTGCTACTTGTGAAGTTCAGCATTTATTGCTTCAAAGTGGAGCCTTGGCTGTGGAAGCTACAAGCCCTTCTCTACCTAGTAATAAGTAGGTTTCATTGTCAATGCCAACCTACCCATTAGCTACTGCATTGTTCCTAATCTGTTATTTTCACAGGTAGACTTACAGGCTCTACGTCTAGCCTAGTACAGTTACATCTCTGCCCCGAAACCTTGCAGCCTGTTTTATATTTATTCATCAAATCAAATGGTTGTTGAAGTAAACATTGTACAAAATGTTGTATAATGCAACATGCTTTATGTTGTATCATGGGCCATATAATTCATTTGTGTTAAAACTGCAAGTAATTATTTTCACTTGTTACTTTTTTGATTACATCTATTTATCTTTCAGGCAATAAAATGTCCGAAAAAAATAATGCTCTTCACAATTTTCCAGAACCCAAAATAACTTGGCAAGGATGATTTAAAACTGCTTGTTTTGTCCAAATGCTGAAATGTTTTATTTAAAATGATAAAATGATATAAAAACGCAGCAAATTCTCATATTTTAGAAGCTGGAATGAGCAAATGTTTGGATGGTAAGCCACTTTTGGTAAAAGGAGGACTTGTTGGCTATGATTCTGAATCAATTAACAAATTACAAAAACACTCTTAATACTAAATTCATAGTTGCCCCTTTTTTCTGTGCTCCAATAACAGTTGAGCAAGCCTTATTGGAGCACAGAGCAAAAGGGGGCGGGGCTTAGGAAGGGTCAATTAGCTGTGCCAGACAGAGGTGAAGTATTTTGTGAATGCACTGTATTGCCATCAGCCAGAGACTAATGTAAGCTGTGTGAGGCTGTGTGACCGACGCGCACTGCGCCACTTTACTGGACTTCAGATGATGAAAATAACTGCGGCCACAGAATGTTTAAATTCAAAAGACCTGCTCCAATACAGCACTGTGGATAACAACGGCTTTCACTGCAACATCTCACTGTTTTTGCCCCCTTGCTCCAGAACACACACACATACCCCCTTCTGTGTCTACAGAAGAATCTAGACACTCAGACAGTGTTGGTAGTCTTTCATTATGTTCATATGTGCAGAACACTGTAACATATGTCCAACTTATTACAGTTAACATTTTTAAATAAAGTTGTGTACTCCCACACACTTTTCTGTTTTTTTTCTGTGAGCTCAGATGGTGACCTTCATCACGACAAGTTAGCTTAACAGCCAGTTATGTTTCATGTTGCCGTTTAATGTTTAGTATCTTGTTTGAATTCAATCAAGAAACTGTCAAAAATCAAAAATCGAAGAATAAGCTGTAATAACTTGGTAAAAACATCAGAGACAAAGCAGCAGAGTACCTGTAACTTGGCCTACGATTGCCTGAGAGATCCTTCGGTTGTTGAGGAAAGTTTTGATCTCTTCTTTCACCAGGTTGCTGTCTCTCCTGCAAAAGCAACAAAAACCCACTGTAGCATTAGAACTATTACGCGGTGGTTAAAACACCAGCCTTTGCTCTGACTAACCTTATTCACTGGTGCTTCTCTTTTTTCAGCCATCCCTAAACACATGACCTGAATTAACTCCACTAAAATTCTGGAGAATAAGCCTGCACCTCCGGGGACAGTAGCTGTCATTATCTGATGTTATAATAGTCTCTCTTTGTCTCTACCATTCTTTTGGTCTTGCTTTCCGACTCGTCCTCGCCCAGCTCTCTGATAACGCTAAGCTCCACCGTCCTCCCTCTTCCCTGCTCACCTCATGTACTCCTCCACCTTCTCCTCCAGGTCCCACTCCTCCTCCCCCATCATGTCGTAGCTGAATGACCGCTGAACCGCCACGCTGGGAGGGTAGAGGGGCGGAGGCGAGGCCTCGTAGCTATTGCTGGGGGAAAGAGCGGCGCCGTCTAGGCCGGAGGTCTGCGTGGTAGCAGAGGCGAGGGAGAGCGAGGAGGAGGAGGATGAAGATGAGGATGGGGCTGGAGCGGCCGTGGTGGGGGTGTTGTTGGATGGGGCGGGTTGAGAGTCACAGTGTGAGGGGCGGTGGTCTGGGTCGAGCCTCTCCAGGGACTCCAGAGCGTGGATGATCTGAGGTTTGGTCATGCCGGACAGACGCAGGCGCTGCAGGAGGTCGATCTGTTCGATGGTGTAGCGTGGCTCCACCTCACAGCACTCCATCCTGGCATCTGCGAACATAATGTGGGGGCGTACGTTTTATCCAACTGAATTTGAGACTGGCATTTTGAACGAAATACAAGCCCAACTTTGTAAGTGAATATGAACTGTGGCCCTATTAATACCCCGACACTCTGCATGCTTGGGTTGATTTCTCACCAGATAAACAGCACCCCAAAACTTCACAAAGTGTTACCAAGACATACACTGCTATATTTATCTCTACTCAGCAGCTTTGATAGACCTTAAATTTAGATAATATGTCCCAAACTTTTCCAGAACCTCCAAACAAACTGATAAATGATCAAAGGATTATTAATAGATGAAAACCCAAATAAAAAAAGACATGCAGAGCTGAATTCAAACACTACACTACCTTTGATCTGACTCATTTATTTTAGTTACGCTAATGCAAAATAACTTTGAGTACTAATACATGACTGGTTTATTAAAGTGAACTTTGCAAAAGAAAAAAAACTGACTGCATTCTCCTCTGAAGAACCCTTGGGTCATTCTAAAATTTGGCACCCTTTCAAACACTTGGCACCGACACTTGGGGCTAACCTTGCTCCATTTGTCCAGGGGTGGAATTAAAGTAAGATCACCCTGGCATACATAACCTAACATCAGGTCCACTCGTCCTAGTCACATCCATCTTTCACTTTCTCTACCTGCATGTGCTGTGCAGGGAAGAGAAGAAGCCTGGCCTAACATCCACCATGAACTGCACTACAGTGTGAAGATCAAACTCATTTAGAAAATCTGGCAATTTAACATGACCTTGCTTATTTGAAAAGGAAGAAATCTGGGACAACGTAACTTATTATGTTTTACAAATCTGTTGAACCCACTCTTTAACTTGGCAGAAGTAGGGTTTTTCACACTGATACTGTCACCAAAACACATAGTGGTGAACCCCAACGAGCACAGTCCGCTACCTTTAAAAAGTTGCTCTTGTTAGATGGGAGGTTTGCCGAATTTACCAGAAAGAGTCCACGATTTCTAGGATGCATCAAATCCAATCCTCTCACATGTGGACCTTTGTTAATAAGCAGGACACATTTATTTATTTTATTTTTTTTTTACAAAGAATTCGGTTACAAATGTGGTGTGTTTACAGGACAGAGTGGCTCCTACCAGAGCTAACTTACAGCTCATAAAGTCTGCCAAACAAACCACACCGCTATACGGGTTTTTTTTTTCTTTGTAAAACTAAAAGCTCCAAACTCTCTTTGACTTAAAAAAAGTAAAGTTAAACCGTGTTCCGTCACTGAGGCTGTCTTACCTGGCGGAGGGGGTGACACAGACAGGCGCCCCGGGAGCGGTTCAGTGCGAGGGGTCGCAGCGGGGACACACCACTGTCGCATGGCTCAGCGGGGTTCAGCTCGGCTGGACCTCTACGGAGTCAGACAGGAGACTTGCTGCAGTGTGTTGCGGTTAAGCTGCCCCTATTAGCATACTGGCAAACCCACAACAGCAGATGACTCGCTAGCAGGCTATGTTGGCTAGGCTAACAGCGTCCACTCTGGCTGGTTCCCCTGAGCACAAGCCTCCCATCGAGAGCCGCTACTTGTTCTGTAAAGTTACACAGCACGAGCGACAACAGAAAGGAGGACAAAGCCATGCAACCTTCACAATAAAAGCATTTTGTAGCGTCCTATTCTCTTTGCCTCAGACTGTAGTTTCCAAAGAGCAGATATATCGGTTCTTGGGCCAAAACTTGTGTTTGGCTGGGATAGAAAACGACACACACTTGGCCCTTGAAATCAGTTTTTGCAAAAGCCTTTTATTTACAATAGGCGAAAGCTAGCCGATGAATTCACCATACAGTACCTAAATTATTAATAGGGGTAAACTAAGCTAAAAGTTAAAAGGTACTTTACTGTATTTATTACTCTATAATAATTCTATTACTTTGTAGTAACTTTTAAATGTACTGCCTCATTGTTACAATCTCAAGTTTAGCTAAAGCCATATGTAAAACATCTGGAGAGACACATTTCACCACAATTTCAAAGTCATTTTATCACAAGATGCTACCACAGACTTCAGCATGCCACCGATTACGCGCACGAATTACGCTTTTATTTTGAAGGACACCGGAAACAGTACTATTGAGTCTGACCAACTAGACACTACAATGTCTTGTCTTGGCTAACAACTTATCTAAAACTTGCACCTTGAATGTTACATTGACAGTATTTCAGAGGGGGTGCTGTGTACGCAGCCGTCACGGTCATACCTGGCTGCAAACAAACACTTGGTGTGTGGGGTCGGAGGGCTGGGACACAGCCAGCGGCTAACGAGTTAGCTCGCTAGCTGGCTAAGTTAGCCGATAGCTAGCAGCGGAGTGTCCCACCGCGGAGGACCCCTCTCTTACCTCCCGTCGCTGTGGAGAGACAGCAGCAGCCGGCTGGACGGAGAGGCGAGATAGAGAGAACTGTAGAGAAAGTGGCGGTCCAGCCGACCCCTCTGAGGAAAGTAACTCCTCGGTCCGTAGCCGGCGGTGAATTTAACGAGCAGAGCGTGAACGGTGCGGGGTCATATTGTCTTTCAGCTATGCAGTGGGGAAATAGTGTATGCAAATGTGGGGAGTCTGTCTCAATTTATGACCCCTCACCCGATACCACTGTCAAGCTAGCAAGAATTATAATTATGGTTTCCGGTTCTACTGTACTTGCTAAAAATATCATAGGTACATTTAAACGCCACAATGGATGTAAAGGTTGCAAAATTAAATCCAAATACCAACAATGCTCGTACATATTTATAGTTTGTGAAACGTTAGCAGTAGCCTAGTTTCAACAGTAACATAAGTTAGTTTATTCTTTTATTTTGGTTAGCTAAAGAAAAATGTCACCAACTCTGTCTGCCTTGACTCAGCACCACCCAGCTATAAGTGCGTTTGTCTGCAGTTATAAGCTTTGATTTGCGAGTATTTATTGGAGATCTATGAAAAGAGAGTACAAAGTAATTATGATAATAAAAATAATAATAATGGAAAAATGTTCTGTGATGTCCCCAATAAATGCCTGCAGTTTTCTGATCTAGCACTCTGCATTTTGGACATCTCTCTGAAATCACACTACTTTTCAACTCATTTGAGATTTCAGATGCTGCTGCTGTGGTATGAATCCCTCACAATGTTCAGATTTTCTCTAAAATACAGGGGACAGTGAAGGATTTGATCACGCCAGTGGCGGAATGTAACATTTACTCAAGAACTTGAGTAAAACTAAACTAAACTACTAAAATACAAATGTGAGGTACTTTAAGGTATTTTAAGCTCAGGCCACTTTACACTTCTACTCCAATACACTTCAAAAGGAAATATTGTACTTTTTATTCCACTTCAATTATTTGACAGAGTTAGTTACTAGTTACTTTACAAATTAAGCACACAAAACATTAGAAAATGTATAAGTGCAGCTGACTAGTGATAATCGATATTATGATATTCTAATTATTATTTTTTTGCAGAAACTTTAGAAATGTAATGATGTGCTGCTTTTCCTTTAAATTATTGTGATCATTTAAATTATTTTTATATTTTAAATAATTGTATTATTTTTAATTATTGTAATAATTTAAATTACTTTAATTATTTGAGGTTTGGTCTGTCGGGACCAAACAAGCATTGTGAAAGAGTCAGTGCGGGCTCTGGGTAATTGTGACAGCATTTCTCACTATTTTCGGACTCTTTACAATTACAGCACCCAGTCTCTCCTGGAAGGCACTGTGACAGAAAAAGTGACAGAACTAGTTGGATAAAGAATGAAAAGAAGAAGGCTTAAGACCTGGCCTAGTTTCTCACTTCCACACACCTGAATGACCAATCACTGCGTAAAGTTGGGGACAATGTCGGGATTGTCCACTAGGTAAAGTTACAGGAATGGTCACCACCATAACCATAAATTACTTCTGGAAAAAGTGTCCAAATTGTTTGTGTGCTAGACCTTAATTCAAAATATCAAAATATATATCGTAAAACAAATGTATAATCAAAATTGTTGTGCTCAGTGGTGGTCCATCCACTGAGTGACAAGCTAACATTTGCCACACAGCAAACACCCTCAGGCATTCACCATTTTTTCCTCTAAGGTGTCAAATTGAAAATCCCTCCTCCCATTACTTTCCAGATGGTTTGGTGTCATGTTTATCTGTTCAGCGCAGCTTGCCAGTTTTCTCCGATCTGCGTTGGCAAAGAGAAAAACAAAAACCTAGCTTACTCAGGTCAACTGGGGCAATGGTTCAGGGAGTGCATTTTAGGAATCCCACCCACTGTAGTACAATGCATGGTCTGCACTGCTTATACAATTCTTAAATTCAAACAGGTGATTACAGATCAAAATTTGAAAATTAACAGTGGTGTAAAATTTTGCATAAAAAGTGACAGCCCTGTTGTGTACTTACCATGGCATGTTTTCCTCTGTCCCTGCAGCTGCTTGTAGTTCAATGCCCTAAAAGATAGTAAACTCCATTCTGACATCAAACTGGATAATATAATGGTTGATAACCAAGAGGACCAGCCTCTGAAGGTAAAATGAATTGTTATCGATGTGGTGCCTCTGAAGTTAAAAGTGGGATGAGCATTCAGCCTCTCTCTAACTAGTGGGTTTAAATCTGCACAGCTCACCTGTTCATGCATTTGCAGTTTTGTGATGTAATAGTGCTCCAGTGCCTGGACAGTATCATGTCAGATGTTTTCTTGGTCCCCAAGGTTTGGCAACATTTCTTGTATTTGTCTCTTGGGCCCCTGGACGTTCCCTTGGGCTGCCCACTCTCCGAGGTTGCAGACATGGGCGCCTCACATTATTGTACCTCGCAGACAGCCTGTGTGCTGGAGAGAGTGAATATCTGCTGCTGAGTAATCTAATATAACTAGATTTGATTGTCCAGCTTCACACAGACAGACACAGACAATGTCCAAACCATATGCAGTCTACGGTCTAAACCCAAAGGAATGATTGATTCTGGCTGATGCCGTTGTATATTTTCTCTTTTGGCCAGGCCGCGGACCACATCCTCAGTGATGATATATATAAAACTTCAATATTGAGAACCTTCATTCTGAGGGGGCAAAATGGAGGCTGATAAACGTAGTTGTTGTTCTGTACTGTTGACAGACTAAATGAATATACTGTAATTTATTTGCTAAAAAACTATCTGCCTCTGGTGAGCTTTAGTGGTGGTAGTAGGTGGATTTTGTTTTTTTTATCTGGACAGTCAGGCCTGCTGTTTCGCCTTAAGCCATGCTTCATATTTTACATTTATTCATCAAACTCTCAGCAAGAAAGCAAATTATTATTTCTCAAAATGTTAAGCTATTTCCTTAAATGCTTTGTATTTAACTTACAGGAACTTGTATTCATTGGCCTCATGTGTTATTAGTATCTAGCAATCTCTCTGCCTGTCTATGGCTTTCCTGCCTCTTAATCAAAGTGTTTGCTATCACCAGTTCCACTAGTGAGTGTAGCAGAAGAATGAGTCTATGTTTGCTTTGTACGATGTTCCTCCCTCCCTCTCAGCCTGTGCCAAGAAGGCAGTATAAGTACTATATTAAAGAGCCTTTGTGCCCGACGTGCTCACATCAGTTTGTGTCCAAGCCACCTGTATTTGAGCACTCAGCAGAGTGCCTGCCACATTTTGGGGTCACTGGGGCTTCTACTTCTTCAAGGTGGTCCAACCTAACATCTGAAATACCACCATGAACTGGGCCTTCCTTGAGGGCCTCCTTAGCGGGGTGAACAAGTATTCCACAGCGTTCGGGCGGATCTGGCTCGCCATCGTTTTCATCTTCAGGCTCTTGGTCTTCCTGGTGGCCTGTGAGAAGGTCTGGGGTGACGAGCAAAAGGACTTTGATTGCAACACGCGGCAGCCTGGTTGTCACAATGTCTGCTACGACCACTACTTCCCCATCTCCTACACCCGACTCTGGGCCCTCCAGTTGATCTTTGTCACCTGTCCGTCCCTTCTCGTGACACTGCATGTGTCTTACCGAAACGAACGCGAGCGCAAACATCGGCTGAAGCACGGAGAAGACTGCACCCCTCTGTATGATGACACAGGGAAGAAGCGAGGGGGTCTTTGGTGGACCTACTTCTTTAGCCTGATGTTTAAGATAACGGTGGATGCTGTGTTTGTCTTCCTGCTGTTCTACATCTATGAGGCAACGTTCTTCCCACCGTTGGTGAAATGCAACGAAGAGCCATGTCCCAATGTGGTGGACTGCTACATTGCCAGGTAAGGATACCTCTGAGGTTCTAAATTGTTAAATATTCTGTAATCTCAATGGCTGAGCTAGGCCTCTGACCTGTAAAGGAGTTAATCAATCTTAAACTTACGTTATCTGTCTCATGTCTGACCATATATTCCTCAGGCCCACAGAGAAGAAAATATTCACCATCTTCATGGTGGTGACCAGCTTTGTGTGCATCTTCCTCACTCTTTGCGAGGTCTTCTACCTATGTGGGAAGAGGTTCTGGGAGTGCTGCAGGGGAGGACCCCGCTCAGCGAGAGAAAACTCCTTCATGATGACCAGAACTCCTCTCACTGGGAAGGAGAACTCAGCGTACAACGAGCCTGTGCCGGCCAAGGCGGTTGACAAAGGCAATGGAGAAGCTGGCATACAGAGTTCAGCCCCAGCATACAGCATTGCAGTCTCCTGAGAGACATGCATCATGTTAATGAGTTTGACTTGAAAATTAAGGTAAAAATGATGTTAGGTAGCTTTTGTATTCTTGGCAAGGAATCTGCAAAAATTAAAGAAAATCTTGTTTACAAAGGTCATGTCTTTATTTTTATTTTTTTATTATTTTTAACATGAAAATGATGTACTGTTTTTGTCCCTTAATATTGTAAAGCTGAACATGTATTTGTTTTAAAGGCTTGTGATCAGAAATAACTGATATACACTAAAGGTGATTTGCTTTTAATATTTATATGATCATTTGTTACATGAGATTATTTTGTTATCTGTATTGAGCAAAAAAATAAAACAGCTGTACTTATTCCGAGATATGAGAGCTGCAGTGGGTGTGTTTACAAGCTAGAATTGAGGCAAACACTTCTGTATGAAAACCCATCATGTCATGAACTTAACAAACATATGAAGATTGAATTTTCTAAAATAAACAACCATCCTGTGAAATGTTCTTTGCCACTTATTCCTCTCACATTATACAAGTATAGACCTGTATGAAAAGGTTTGGAAATCTTTCATATGAAACTGATTACCTGTGTATCATTCAGGTCATTTTTTCAAATGAGAGCTTTGTCAAATGTCCAAGATATCTTCAATGAACCTACAACATGCACACACAGATGGGTGCAGTAGTATAGAGTAAATTTAGCTGAAGGTGGATAATAACCTGATAAGCGATCAGAAAAAAAAGGTGTACCAAAATCTACATGTGGTTACTGATGGGAGTAACATTATTGACAAAAGTTGTTAAAATCACCACTCCCACACCAAGTTTCACACCAACTCAATGACCACATCCTGCATTCCTTTAGAGGACAGAGAGTAGATTTGTAAAGGGCAGTATCATAAAACGGAGTGTACTAATAAGGCAGTGGCAGTAGCACATTCTTACCTGAGAAAGTGAACAAGCAAACTCTTTTTATATCTGATTTTACGATATTGGCACTCCATATCTCGGGTGCCAATGGTTCCAGAGTGTTTGCGCAAACAAATGGTAGGTGGTGGCCCTGTTTAACGCTGATTAATCAAAAGCTACAAAGGGGAATATCTCTACATCACAGTTGCCTAATGGACCTGATACCAAGTCACCTGCCACAAAACGTGGTGAACAGAGTAGACAAACACACCTAAATGAGGTCTCTTAAGGTCCACTGGCTTTTTCATTGTACTGTATCATCTCTATTTATTTGCACAAAGTCACTCTCTGAAACCGATTTCCTTGTTCGATCAAACCACTGATGTGCCTTTTGTTGTTTTCTTGGACTTTATTTTTGCTGTATTCACCAATCTCAGTAAGGGTACCACATCACAATAAAACCAGCATAGTAAAAGTGAATTTAAAGCTCTTGGCTTCGCTCAGTCTAAGTACTAAGATAAATTGATGCTGACAAGGAGTAGCTGGAGGTTTAAAGGTAAATTCTGAATGGCTGCCAAAAAGTGGCCACACCTCTAGATTATGGCCAAGAGTTAATTCTTGTACCCAGTCAATATCAGAGACCCACTGCAGGAGAGAGGTTGCCTGACAGTTTCCCAGACAAGGAAAATGATGGACTGAGTGGAAGATCTGTTTTCTTTGGTAAGCTGAGACATTTTCAGTCATGGTTTTGTATATTCTGGGTGAGTTATATTCAGTTTTAAGACTATCTGCAAAGCAAAGAACAGGAAATTTAAGAGAACGGGTCAATGTTGACTACTACATTCAAATGAAGGATGAGTGAACATTTAAAGAAACTCTTACCTTCGAGTTTCACCTAAGACTTAGCTAAAAGTGTATAAGGCTGAAGCCAAGTGTTACTCTGTGCCATGGAAGGTTTATATGTTGAACAAGTGTTTCATCAATTATTAAAAGCATCTTTCTTCAAAGCGCTAAACTTTATAAGTAAGTGAAAATTATTTTAACTGTGATATACAGGAAAGGGGATTGAGGTTTCATAGCTGTCAAATAAATGGTTTGATGAGAAAAGAGAACACTTCTTAAAAATGAAATATTTGGAACATTACAGAATATTTTGTTAAATCAAAGCTGATTATGCACTGTATCAATGTTTTTTTGTGTTATTTAATTCCTTAAAAAACATGTATTTTCATGTATAATAGAATAACTAAATAAGTCTTTTTTTGTTGTTGTGTTCTAGCACCCCAGTTTATAAAGTTTCCCCCCTGCAACACTTAAAGAAAGACTTCTAAACTTCTAGGGTCATAAGAAGCCAATCAAAGCTGAAATCATGGATTGGAAGTTTCTCCAGGGTCTTCTCAGTGGAGTCAACAAGTACTCCACTGCCTTCGGACGTATCTGGCTATCAGTGGTCTTCGTCTTCCGGGTGTTGGTCTTCGTGGTGGCCGCCGAACGGGTCTGGAGCGACGACCAGGGACACTTCGACTGCAACACCCGCCAGCCGGGTTGCACCAACATCTGCTACGATTACTACTTCCCCGTTTCCCCCATTCGCCTGTGGGCTCTCCAGCTAATCTTCGTCACCTGCCCCTCCTTCATGGTGGTTCTGCATGTGGCCTACAGGGAAGAGCGGGAACGCAAGTACCGAGTCAAGCACGGTGAGAATACTCGACTGTACGACAACACAGGCCAAAAGCATGGCGGCCTATGGTGGACTTATCTGATGAGCCTCTTCATCAAGACCACCTTTGAGGTCACCTTTCTCTACTTGCTCCACTACATCTACGACAGCTTCAAGCTGCCCAGGAAGGTCCAATGTGATGTCAAGCCCTGTCCGAATATGGTGGACTGCTACATATCCCGACCCACTGAGAAGACCGTTTTCACCTACTTTATGGTGGGGGCGTCCGTCATATGTGTGGTGCTCAACATCTGTGAGATTTTCTATCTGATTGCTTCCCGTATGGTGAATCTCAAACATCGAGGCAGCGTACATACCTCGTCTAAAAGAGTCTGCCCTGACATGGACTGTGATGGCTGCAAGTCATCTCTTACATCATAACGAGACTCAGTATAGGCAATCAATGTTTCGTCTTATACCTCTGATTACTTTACTATAGGGTGATCCTTTTTGCCCATTTTCATTGAAATTTTATATATAATTTTATATGTAATATAAATACATTGTACACCAACAAACAATTCTATGCACTATAATGATATGATAAAGTGTAATAAATACTTCAGCACCAAAAGAAAGCTGAGTCATTTTGTCTGCTGTACATTATGAAGTAGTTGATCATCATTAAATGAAGTCTGAAGAACTGCTCATATTTGTAACCAGTGTCATCTTGATAATACCTAAAACTATTTGTTTTGGTTTTTTGTATTCCCTAGAAAAGGTTGTCAAAGCACTGAAAATAAAGTTTTCTTTGGCAGCTTTGATTAAACCACAGCAAATGTACGTTCATGTGTAAGACCCACATACGGTCTATGCCATTGACTGTATGGTAAACCCATAGACTGTACATATATTAGAGGGCTAAAACCTGCTTTCTCCTTCTTTAATGGCGCCATTTCTCCACCTGGTGGCACTAAATGCATACTACATTGCCTTGTGAGGGACGTGAAGCCCTCAGAAAACATGATTCCCTCTCAGATTTCAATGATTCTATGGTTATTGTACTGCTAAGGAAATGTTGCATTCCTGGAATATTCCTAAACTATAGCCTCTGTGCTACTTCTACCTATGGAATCATCTTGATTTATATATATATATATATATATATATATATATATAAATTAGCCTACTATTCAAACTGGTATCTGGTCTTATGCCAGCACAGTCTGGCGTGTTTTTCCAGGCTTTGATCCAGGTGTTGACACCGGAACTAGCATAATAAGTTACCACCCTTAACGCACCGCAACAAAAACATAATTTCAATGTAATAAAAAGCCTTTATGAATAAAGTCAGTTGACTGTAGTGTAGCTTACATTAACGTATAAGGCATGTCCATAGGTTTTTTTCTACCACAAAAGAGAGGGAGGTGCTAACAGGTGCACCTGTGCTGCCACATCAAGGTAGAAGTTCAACACAACGGCCAATTAGCAACCGCGGTTTCAAAATAAAAGCATCCAAAGTAGTCCGAAAGAAGAAATAAAAGTCGGTGTGCACGTAAAGACCACTGTGGGAGATGAAAAGGTGTTCTAAGTATTAATTAATGAGCCACAGATTATTACTCAAACATAATATCAACTTTGGTCAATTTTTTTTAATTTGCTTAATCAATTGCACTTACTGCTCAGTTACTGCCATTTCCCTAACTTTCACCTACTGCACGCAATTATTTGACAAAAAAAATCTTCCACTCTGATAAACTGACATGCACAGCGCGTTCATCGAGCCTAATACACTTTCACTCACCATATCTAATAATCTATTTTAGATAAGGGGAGATTTTATTTTGAAAACTTTGAGCAGAAGTGTAACTTTCTGAGTGTGCTGCTGACTGACTGACTGACTGACTTTGACTGACTGGGGTTTAGTTTGCAGAGAAGAGGGCACACGCTGATAAGCTAAACACTCACCGGCAATTTAAGCGAATGGTGACCTAGCAGAGATGGCTGGTACAGGTAATGCATGTGTCTGGGAAGTTTATGTAAATGTGTATAAACTGCAGACATTTGTTTGTTTAAAACTTTCGGAGTGTTTGTTTGGGTGTGGTGGTGGTGGTGTGGTACAGCAGGATGGACTCAAGTGATGGTGTTGACTAATGAACTACATTGCTTAAATTTCAAACTAAAACTGCACATTGGAGTAAGTAAGCACTGGGATCTATTTTGATCACACATCCTTTGGGCCACTTGGTTTAAGTGGCCCCTCTGAACAGTGTGAAATGCAATATGTCACCTCTGCATGTGTTGTCTCTCAGTGTGAGTAAGAAATCCCCAAATACCCAGTTGTGAAATTGTGTTCTGGTGAACATGGGAGTGGTAGCCAGGTTAAAATAGAGGTCCTGTGTTACATTATGTGTAACTCAACTAACTGATCTCATTTCTAAAAACATCTAACTCCAACAAAACACTTAATTAAACCAAATTTAACAAAGTCTCTATGTTTATTATATCTCATGAGATTTACCATTTCATTTTCATGGGGGTGGATCATTATTGTGCCAAAACACAAGTTTTTCTTCAGTTTGTTACATTTCTAATGGCATTTGCTTTGCTCTGTTTCTGTGTTTTTTAAAAGTTGAGTTTTAGGCTTTATTTAAAATGGTCACTGTTGTGGGAAAGCAGCGTGGCCTGAGCTTCTTTCATGTGTTATATAATAATCCATTGCTGTTTTATACTGGCAGCAATTGTCGATTTAGCATATTTATTTATTTACTTTAATATACTGGTTTGAGAGAGCCCCATTCTGAACACTATGTGTTTAGCAGCTAATCATTAATACGAGTGACATCTCCGCTGTGGTTTTGACCTGTGTCCGATCAATACAACATGAACAACATGGACCATGTGGACATTATCTGCAGCTCTCTGTTCTGTATTGTGATTCTTTATATTTTGCAGCCTGGACAAACCTGCTTCTCTTCCTCCCTCCCCTCCTCAGGAGTGTGTTGTGCCAGTCTGGAGGAACCAAATGCCCTGATGAAGATGGGTCTGAGCATGGTCCTCATTGGTCATGTTAACTTCCTGTTGGCGGCGCTGGTGCACGGCGTGGTGCTCAGACACATCAACCTCCACAAGCAGGCCCGGGCCATGGAGTACGCCATCTCCAATGTGGTGGCTCTCACCTCTGGCCTCGTGGTGAGTGCACAGACGGATAAGATTCATACTGATTATATAGCAGCTCTGAAATGTCACAAATGGATTTTAATGGCATTTCTGGAAGTATTATGGAGTATGATAGAATTCTGCAACTCATTGTTTCCATTAGAGGTAGAAAAAATGAACCATAAAAGGAAAGCATTTTTATTCCAGTGCTCTCCTCTCAGACTTTGTAATGAGAAGTTGTGGGATTTTCCATCAGGGCTGCGGTTGCACTCTGCAAACCACAAGTTACAAATGCATCCACCTCTTTAGAAAAAGGGGATAGAATTGATCATAAAGTGCCTTTAAAAGTAAACTTTCTTAATAAAAAAACAATAGTAAAACAAATGGTTCTTTGGACTTGTGCCATAAAATATATTTTCAAGTCCTATGAAAAACCTTTTGGTAACTAATATACGTGTGTGTGTGTGTGTGTCTGTGTCTGTGTTAAACAAGTAGGAAAGTGTTAAATCCTTAAAGTCTCAGTCAAACAAATCACTGAATCCTTCTAGTCATTAGGATTACTTAAAAAACACTTCCCTGAACAAAGACCCCTGTAGAAACCTCTATTTTTAATGTACATAGGGAATAATTTCAATTTAATTCTATGTAATTTTCCTTTTTAAAAATGCATAAATTAATATTGTTTGAATGAGTGACAGGTTTATCTGATGATCTCAAATGAGTTCCAGTCGCTAGTATAAATTAGATGTAAAGTTAAAGGGCCATTCTGTGATGATTTTCTTTTTCTTTAGGTCTCACAAAAACAACTTTTGACACACGCAAAGGTACTTAAGCACATATTTGAAATGTTTGTAGTGATAGCAGAGCTGTGGTGTTGAGAGGAATCCTCTTTACCTTTATGTTACCCTGTGTTGCTACCTTGAGTGTGGATGAGATATACTGTATATCATGTGGAATCTTATCATTTATCATTTTGAGGTAATTCTCTATCGTATCTGCCATCTCTTTGCCCTGTACAGAGAATATAGTGGTTGTCAATATGAAGATTCTTTAAATCTCATCTGTCTTTGTCTCCGCAGGGAATTGTTGTTGGTATTCTGGCTATCGTCCTCTCTAAAAACAAGAAGAGTAGAGGCCTGGTTAGTATCACTTTCTTTTGCTATTTGAATGTTCTAAAGAAGTGAAAAATCCCATTAATAATACAGACAGCAGTCTATATAGTACGTTCTGACTGTGCTGCTGTCACTCCTTTCCCCTGATGTTGGCATTGATCGCTCCTACTCTACACATCAGTACTTTCAAGGCGCTCTCTGCTAATTTAGATCCGTCTGCCTGCGCTGCGCCTACTTGCTCTTTGATATTTCCCAGCTTTCTCACACTTTATTCTCAGCTTCTCTCTGTGTCTTTCTAGTCAGGAGAACATTAAAAAAGCCCTTTGAGCTCCTGCATGCTGCCTCAGGTGTCTGAATGCAGCACCGTAGTGCTGGAATAGTCTCCTCTCTCGCTCCCTTCGTGCAACACAGCTTCTCCTCTCTGTTTATTCAGTCAGCTGTCGGGCAAAGTCGGGAGTAAGCCCAGGCGAGTAAGCCCAGGCAAACCTGCCGTGATAAACCACTCCCTGCCTCCTTTGTTAGTGAGAGCAACCGTGAACTGGGCAAGGCAGCGCTGACAAGCAGCAGTTTCACTCCTCGTTATCTTATTCAGTCATCCAGGCATCATGCAGCAGTAACATATAATCTCAACACTCCTTTTTTATGTTAACATGCTCCTTTATCACATATGCTGGCTACTACTGCTTCTTATCAGCCAGACAAATTGCAACAATTTTCTATTGTTCTTATCAGGTTTCGACTCAACAACTCACTCATCTTCACAAAGTGGTTTTAAAGGTCTAGAGACTTTCCTGCACCCACAGCACGTCTCACCTTCTGTCAACTTATTTAAGGGATAGGTTCACTCTTTTGCTGCCCAGCATATGATTAATTATTGCACATAGCTGATAGCTTTAATTTCTAATGCTTCTTACTGGCTGTTTAAATAAGGCTGGCTTAGACTTGACTTAGATATGTGTTTTTAATATCCACAAACCCCATTGAAGGTCCAGTTTGTAACATATAGGAGGATCTATTGGCAGAAATGAAATGTAATTTTCATAGGAATGAATGGGTCGCCTTCCATAGAGTCCACCAGAACAGACAAACCAAACACTGGCTCTAGATAGGGCCCTTTGCGTTTTTCCTAATGGCCACAGTACAAAGGCCACTTTTAGTCCCTAGTATGGCAAAAGACACTGAATCCGATTTGTGTCATGTTTTCATGTTTACCTGTCTTTTCTTCATTTCTGTTTTTCTATATCTTCCATATCTCATGTTGTACTTGCTACCTTATCAGCTCTGTATATATTGTTTATTCTTTGCTATCCTCTTACCTGTTTATTGTTGCAAATGCCCCAAGCTTCATCTTATCAGTCATCAACTTTTTGATTCCTGATGGTTTTTCCTTGTCTCGCTGTTCTTTCCCCAGACGTGGTCACTTTTCATAGTTGGTCTGGCTGGAACTCTCATGGCAGCAGCTTCAGCCATTGGACTCTCCGTGTCTATGGTGTGGGCCATCATTCACAGCGGGCGGAGCCTTCTGACTCACTGCCGCTTCCCCGATGCCATTGGCTACTCCAGCATCACCAACGAGTGTCCTTTTGACCCCACGCGCATCTATGTGAGTTTATTAGTGTGTACGAGAGACTCAGATGAAGGCATGAACTGTAATCGTCTCTGCAGCAGCTGACTGTTTGAACAGCTGACCATTGTCACTGTGACATAACAGCACTGTGGCTGCACATCATGCTGGCTGTGCCCCTTTTGTGTTTGTGTGTGTGTGTGTGTGTTTGGTCATAGGGTGTGGAAGAAGGAGGGAGAGTGAGGCTGGGTGTCTGTCCTTGCTGTCACTCAGTCAGTCACACTCTGTAGCCGGAGGGCTGGTGGCAGAAATGCTGACCTGACCCTGCCGGCCCACTTCAGGCTCTGTCCTGTTCCAGTGTGCTGCAGATGGACTGTCAGACCTGCTCAGCCTCACCGTTGCAGCCACACATCAGCACGACCCTGGCATTTTAGCACGGCTAGTAGTCTGCAATTTGTCAGTTAAGTGACCTTTGTCTTAAGCTGGATTTATACACGATGCAAGGGGGTTAATGGCAGTCCTGCTGTATATACAAACAGTGTAGGCTTTGAATTATAGCTCAGTGTCGGATTTCACCTATTAATAGCACAAACGCATCATTAGACAGATTTACAACCCCGCCAGCGATCCTGTTTACATTCTTTCATTCATTTTGTGATACAGAGCAACGGGGAAACGTTTGTCTCATCTCACTATTGAATATTAGACCGCTGTGATGCAGTTGCCGTGCTTACAGTACGTTCGCTGTGTCATTCACTGTGATAGAAAGCAGTGATCACCAGGAGCTGAAGGTTGTCTGGCCATTATTGTCAAGTATATGGGTAAATAGGCACATAGGCACTTTATTCCAAGTCCCCATATTTAGCGTAAACACATTCGATAAATGGTTTATAAGCCACAATCAGGTATAAGTGTTTATTAATGCAATTTTTAACTCCTCATGTGGGCACTCATAAGTAGAGGCGGCTGAAAGACAACATAGGAAAAACACATTTGTAATAATATAAAATGTCTTCTTCAGTTATAATTGTTGACAATTACTATATATTAATAAATACATTTTGTGTGCTGAGGATGCATGTGCTCACAAAATAAGGCCAAAGTTGTAATAAACCAGATTTATCCAAGTTCCAAATCAGAAATGAGGTAAATAACTTCGTTGGGAGTCTACTGAGACTGCAGACCATGCTGTTCACTCAGAGTTGCCTATTAGCAAGGGACCGCCAATATGGTTGCCGGAGGCTGCATAATATCACTCAGAGTGTTGTTGGACCTCTGATTCAGATATTCATAGTTGCTTAGGGCCATTAATGATGGTTATGCAAGGTTTATTTTTTTGTGCTTTCTGCATATTTCATCGTGAATACCAAAGACAGCTCCTTAGAATTATAAACGTTCATTCTCTTTGTAGTCTGCCTAACAAAAAGGCAGTTCTTTTACTTCCCCCTGTACACTTTTACTTTGATACATTCTGCTCTGCATATTTTATTCACAATGATGCCTCTCCTGTGCAAACTGAAATTCTCAGACCCACTGCTGTGTTTTTGCAGCTTATCGCACCGTCTGAGAAAAATAAGGTTCTGTATCACATCATTAGCCCCACTGTAGTATGTGAAGCTGCTCTCGCCTCATATTGTGTTCTTTATGGTCCAGCTGGTGGTTGCCACTAACTCCACTCCTCGATCCCTCCCCAGAGTACCACTCTGATCCTTTGGGTGCCTCTGATCGTGACTTGTGTCGTCCAGATGGTGTTTTCCGCCCGGTGCTTTGCTGTCTGTGTTTCATTCTTGGGTCTGCCTTGTTGCCATAACAGGAAGAAAACCAAAGACTATGGCAGAGCGGTGAGATTTCGCCTCAAACATACATTGTGCTGCTTGAACTGAATTCATTATATGGTGCATAAGACAGTTGTCAATAAAGCAAAGTTTTAAAATTGGAATAAAAAAAGACAAATAAACAAAATAAATTCTGTTTTTGTGTAGATCAACGTGGTAAGGCCAATGCAGGAAGCCCCTCGCTCTCACTATACTGATCCTCCACGAAGCTACAATGAACCTCCAACACGCTATAGTGAACCTCCAAAAAGCAACCTTGAACCTCCAGCACGCTATAGTGAACCTCCACCAAACTACCGCGAACCTCCAAGACGGAATACTGAACCTCCAAGACAGCAGCGCAAGCCTCCTCCCCCTCCACAGCATCTTCCCCCTCAGCATCGGAGTCTTCCTCCCTCGGAGAGACGGCCTCTTCGCCAGCCGCAAAGAGAAAGGTCAGACAGAGGAAGGCAAGAAACAAGGGTTGGCAGCCAGCAAAGGGCACCGGAGCAACACCAACTGCTGGAGAGGGGTACGCTGGAAAGGTCCAGCTTCTGGATTTAGCCATATTTGTCATCTTCTTGAAGATGAAGTGCTGTGTGGGTATTGACTGTAGTTCTAGCTACAATACTTGGATTTCAACATCATACCTCCTGTCAATACTTCAAAACAGTGAATTCAGAGCTGGAGATGATTTATTTAGCAGTGCAGTGGAACCCAACGTTGTCCAGGATCCCAGTTATGTGAGCCTGTCTGTTCTTTTATGTTTGTACTTCTGAGTTATTCATATCAGGATAGACAGAAGAGGCAAATCCCTCAAAGTGAGTACACGGTGCCAATGTCTTGCTTGTACTAGGATTTAGTCAATTGAGAGTTAAAAGAATAGTTTGACAGTTTGTGAAATGCACTTAGTAGCTTTCTTGCAAAGAGTTAGATGAGAAGATTGATACCACGCTCATTTCTTTGTGTTTAGTACGGAGCTGAAACTAAAGCTCGCTACATGTTATATCTTGTGTATTTAACATAAAAACAAGTTGTGGTTTTACTGGGGGTTATGTGCGAGCTAGACTGTTTCTTGGCTGGGAGCAGTGAGTCTTGTTTTCATTTTTACACTTCAGTTGTTTTTTTTTACAGGGGGGTGTTGCTTAGCTTAGCTTAGCATGAAACTGGAATCGAATCAGGGAGAAACAGCTAGCCTGTCCAAGGTTTAAAAATACCCATATAAGGACCTCTAAAGCTCACTGATTAACAATAGGTTTCCCATTTGATTAATTTGTTCACAAGCAAATGTAAAAACGTACGGAGTTGCAGTGAAACAGCTTGTAGGTGTGTGATAATGATTTCTCACAGCAACAACAAGGCTCCAGGAAGTCACTGCTTGTCACCAAGAAATGCTTATAGCACATAACTTCCCATAAAACCACAACTTGACATTTTAATTTAAAGTTAGTTAGTTTTTTTCAGGGTTTTTTTAAAACTAGGCCAGGCTTGCTGCTGTCATTGTCCCCTGCTTTCAATCTTTATGCTGGGCTAAGCTTACCACCTCCCGGTACTAGCTTCATATTCAGCACACAGACGTGATAGTGGTATCTATCTTCTCGTCTAAGTCTCTGTCAGAAAGATGAAAAGTGTATTCCCTAAAATCTTTAACTGATCTTTTAATGTTTGAGGTTACATGGAGGCAGGTGCCATAGAGATAAGTAAAGGTCCAAGTGAAGCAATGTCCTAAGTGTGTGTGTGTGTGTGTGTGTGTGCCCTGTACATGTTGTTGCAAGCAGATTGAACCTCTGGTGTGTGTTGCTCTGTTTGAGTTGTTGATAGTCAATTGTATGTACATTTGTCTGCAGTTACGTCAAGAGAAATTAGTTTCCTGAGAAACTGGTACTGCAAGTTTTTGTATTTATTGCTTAAGTAAATAAAGTTTTTGTTATAACGCTGCAGCTATTTTGTGAGGTTTGTATCTGAACTGTCATTATTATATGTGGTAATGTCAGCAGCCAGTCACCTGACAGGTATGACTGGTTACACATGCAGACATCCTGACAGCTTAGCACACTCGCATTCACCCACGGCCTGTCAGGTAAGGACCTACAACTGGCTGCAACACTTAAATGTATGACAGTAATGTTCAGTTGTCAGACCTGACAACGTTCGCTGTCTCCACAGTGAAAGGCATTGCTCATCCATGCATTCCTAAATAACTAGAAATGAAGAAACAGTCCACACATGAAGCTTTGAAACACATAGGTATATTTCGCTTTCAGGTCCAACGGAACAAACATGACATCCTCACGTGAGGTTTTCATGCAACAGAAAATAGGAAGGAAGGAAAGAAAGGGAGGTTAGGAAGGAAGAAAGAAAGAAGTGGGTGTATTTATCCAACACAAGGTACCAGTTCATCAGAGGCAGTGAGAATAGAAAAGGGTTCAACTGTAGTAGATCAGGGGGTAGCAACTGTTGTTCCTTATCCTACCAGCAGAAGGCAGTGACACTATAGGATCCCCAAAGCAGAGGTGCGGCTGGTTAGGAAGCTCCTGTGCAAATGTTTGGTAGAAGGTTAACCTCAGGTCAGTCCTAATGTCCTGTGGATGCAGCTGCACCAGCACAGCTCTCAGGTTCTTACTGGTAGCTCACTCTGCCACCATTGCACACAATCATTTAAATTTATGAGTTAGTGAAATGTTGGGCAACACATACTGGGCTGATATTGGCTGTTTTTGTCCTTGTGCCTTTTTACTGAGGAAGGGTAGAATAATGGATGTGGTTAAATTTGGGGATTTTGATTATCAGCTTTACTAAATGCCAGTTGGAAGACCATTTACTTACCACACTATGTAAATACTCTGAAGTAAAACTCCTTTTGGGAAGTTTAATCTAAAACAATAGTTGTCAAATACATGTAATGCACTGACAATTGTATTATTTCTTTTATCATTTTCTTGTGCATCATGTAAAGAAACACTTTGATTGAATTGAAAATAGCCTCTTTTCTCCAAGCTGTGACTTCACTGACAACCTCTAGGAAACAGGTCCCTTCCTCAAACAAGGTTTCCAAGTAGGACTTACCTAAAATGGGTCTGTGAGTATCTGCAATATGCACTTTTACTTTTTCCAGTGCGCCCCACACTTTACAAACAGAATGTGTGCTGTGTTTAACCTCCAAAACAGAGGATGGCAATAGTGATCTGACAATGGGGGCCTTAAATTGTTAATGCATGGGAGTCGTGCTGTGCTGGTGTTGCTGCAACCAGTAGCTCTGTTTACATGTGCACAGTATTTCAGAAGGAGGCTTTTATTCTGAAGCATGTTTTATTCAGTCGAGGCTGTGCTTTCAAACTCTAATATACAGTCTTGTATTTCACTGAAATTGGAAAGATGGATTTGATGCCATGTATTCTTGGTGCTCCAAATATGAATTAAATATGTTGGAATAGGTATCCAAAACATTAATTAAGGTTAATTTCTATCAGTGCTAATGTAAACAAAGCCACTGATCTTTGTCAGCTTACTACATACGTCTGGAAACCCTGAAAACTCTAATCAGAACAAGTGTCTCTACTTGCTCCTATCTCCTAAAACATTTCCCTTCATCTAACTGCTCTGTAAGCAGACTAATCCAGGAGGTTATAAAAGCATTCAGCTAGAGAGTGATGAACGAGCCCTTAGTGAGTTCTCTGTCTGTCAGAGGAAAAGAGAGAGAGGGGGGAGGGTTTGTCCCAAAGCAAGACAAATATTTAATCATTTCTGCCTGGTACAGTGCTGAGGAGGCTGCAGAGCTACAAAAAGATACTGCTGTGCGTTGACTGTTTTTGTGGATTTTGTTGTCGTCTGGTTCGTAGGATCATGCAGTATAGTGACAGGTTACGACTATCTTAAGTTTACTGCTCATTGTTCAAGAACTTTAAAATACTTACAAATTAAGAAACAACACAACAACATGATAATACTGTAAAAGTTATAGCCTCACACATACAGTGCATATTCACATGCACACACGCATTCAGACCAAATGCACAGCCATACTTTATAAACACATGGCAGCTCAAACGATATGCGCTACTGGTGTTGTTGATCAAATGCATTATGGGATTCCCTTATTTCACTAGAATTTCACAATATTCCACTTCAACAAATCCACAAATCCCAAAGAGATCAATCTTAACTCACATTTTCTCTCTCTCTCTGTCACTGTAAACTGGAATATGGTAATCTTTAACAACATATCAAAGTAAAAGCACAATAATAAGAATACAAATGAATAAATAAAACAACATGAAGGAGGAAAACAATATGTACAAATGAAAAAAAAAACATTTAAAATTTAAAAATCAACAAAATGCCAGTAGATATCGATAAAAACCTAATGGGATCTTAGGCCTTCTTTTTCTCAGCGAAAGATCATATAGCAGTAAAATCCCAATAACGCCCCAACCCCAACCCTACCCACCTCCACCCCACCCAACCATTCAGATCAGACCAGGAAGCTACGCTACATAATACTGCCTTTCAATGCCAGAAAGTGTGCACCATACATGAAGACAAATGTACTTCATCTCATGATATACATAGACGTACAGTATATACATGATATACATGTGTGTTGGAGGACAAACTGAGCCATCCCCACCCTGCAAAAAGCATCCACACCTTGTCACCAGCTCCCTGGAAACCTGATGTTCCAGAGAGAGAGAGAGAGATACTCGGGAACATTAGCGGACGCCACTGTCGACTTCTCATTTTATGTATGCATGTCCCTTCGTTTTTCCCAAATATAAAAATGAAAGTAAAATGATAAAGATGACTTTTCTTAGCCTCCTTAAAATTCCTCCTCCATCCTTGCACATAACAATAACAAAAAAAAAGATGATATGAGAGATTAGAACCATCATGCATTGATTTGAGTGACTGTTTCAATAGCAACAGAGAGGGTGAGGAAGAAAGGGTTGTAGCAGGGCTGGGTGGGGGGTTTAGAACTGGGAGGCCGAGCTGGGGTCGCACTGGAGTAGCCGGACAATGGAGGGGTCGCTTTTGGCACCTTTGATAAACTCCTCCAAGGACAATTTGCCTGCATTGTAGATGGAGAAAGAAAAAAAAATGTTTAAGTTATAAAATTATTTTTAAGTAATATAACCCTTGTTATATGACCTATGTTGGGTCACATAAACTAAACTTTTTACATAAATATTTAGGCTTCTATGTCGATGGACACATGGATTTTATATATTAATGTTCTTGCTTAATCTTGATGGATTACTAAAATGTGTCAATATCTACGATATAAGTATATAATAATATATGTACCAACTTTTATAAAAACAACTTGTGCTGTAAATAGTTCTTTTACTCTTGTGATCAAAAACATTGCCCTGAGGCTGTTCTTTAAGTTTTCTAATAAATATAGCAATTTCTGATTCACAGTACAGATACAAATATGGCTAATTTAGTTTTTTGAACAGATACAAAACATCCCTAGTGATTACTTTTCTCAGTAATGTGTTGTGTAAGGTTGGTTGTTCACAAGCCTTTCTTCTCTTTCTCTTGCTATTCAGCAAACAATTTATTTGATGTTTTTTATAGTTTTTTTTTTATTCTATACCTATATGTGTTTTTATGTTTTATAAATAACGATGTCTTGTAATCCCATCAGGGATGGGACAAATATTTAACATGACACAGAAGCAAAACAACTAATTATTGCAGTTCTTAATTGTCTCAAAAATAGTCTAGTTAATTTCAAAGATTATCTTCAATAAACTGTAACATTCATCCTTCATTCCTCACTCCTCCTCTCCACAACATATTCATCCCTGCATGTTGCCATTTCCTCCTCTCACCATCATTATTGAGGTCCATTTGTCTGAAGATCTTATCCGTCCTCTTCTCCGGCGTGGATTCATCCTCTGGCATCTTCATCACAGATGACACCATCTTGTAGATGGCCTGATAGACGGAGAGAGAGAAAGAAGGAGAGAGACAGGGTTACGTTGGGTGGGGGCCAGAGAACAGAAAGTGAATTCAAGCCAGCAGGGACCCATTAAGGAAACTCGGCAGGAGAGAACTAAAACACGAATTAACTGAAAAATAAAGACACTGTGGCTTACAAGATGCTGATAAACACGCTTTCAGGAGTCCACATGAATCACAGACGTTTGTTACTCTTGATGCCAAGAGTTGCTCCCTGGGCAGCTTTTCCACAAATACCCTTGCAGGGTCTGTACGGCTGTAGAACCACAGTGACACACATCACACGTGCCAGCAGGGTACGGGGGCTTACGAGCCGAGCTTACTGTATTGATCTGATACATCTTTATCTGTTGACTGATATGAGCGCCTCCAGTCCCCTGACAGCATTAAATTAACCTCTGCAAGTGAGCACAGAGAAGCTCAAAATATCAGCTGGCCTCAGACACGGATCTACAATCAGCTTACGTGCCCATTAAATCTTCTCCATTGGGAGCATAGGGTGTAAAACTGACTGTAGATCAGTGTCACAGCAGCTCCCTCAGAAGGGAATGTGGCATGCATGAAATAAGCCTTCTGTGACATACCAGCTTTACAATTTTATCTTTTGGACTTCAAAATGGGAGTTCATATATCCTAAGAAAGGTTGAATAGCTGGGTGTATTTTTATACTAACAGGACAATGAAGCTGCTTCTTTTTTTTTACTCTTTTTTTAGTCATTTGATGTTGATAATATGTCTGAGGTTGGCAAAATCTATGGAGGACCACAAGTGTCACATAAAATGTGCATTCTACTTATTGATATAAAAAAGGACAATAAAAACAGGTTCTTACCAATTAAAATATGAATCCATCAATAAATAGCTATGTCAAATTAAAGGTCTGATTAACAAGAATTTCAATGGGGTAGTTATTTTAAAATACAGTATAAGTTAAGCAAGGTTTAATCCTTTTTCTTTTTCCATTTATGCGCTGCAATTTATTTTCCTTTAGCATTTTCATTTATGTGACCCTCAACTACTTTCATGGCTCGCATTTTTCACAGTATAAGCTCTGCTGTGTTAATAGTGTAAGAGAATAATGATGCTTCCCAAAATGCTGGGTTATTTCTTTAAACACTAGGCAAACTCCATTATTAAGAAAGTCCTTTAGATGCAACTGAAAGCTAGCAAGTGGGTCTTGTATCTAAGTATTTAACAGAAGGACAATAGTGATATCTTACTGTTCCAGTGATTTTTAAACATATAGTTGTATTAAACAGTGTTGGAGTAATACTGCAGCCCTATCTTACACCTGTTTTGGGGGGAAATTGTCTTTCTATATTGACATTTTTTAAAGATCAATTAATGATTTCATACAATAATTACAACCATTTCATACATTTATAGCTTATTCCATTTTCAGTCAATTAAAGGAACAGGTGGTTACTATATTATGTTTTTAATTAGGGTGTGTAGGGTAAAGATGCAGTCTGCTGTCCAATAATGTGGTGTAAAACAACCCTGAGTACCTTTATCATGACAATCTCTCTCTCTCACTCTCTCTCTCAATGACACAATGGGCACCTCCGCTCTCATCCAACGGTGCGTAACCTCAATGAGTTTGAGGATAATCCCAGTATTCTGCACACTCAGGGATAAAGTCTGGTTAAATTTAACTCCCTAATCCGTGAAAACCCTGTAGTGCGCACACACACTGCTAACACACACACACACACTGCTAACACACACACACAGAACATACAGCGCAATCCTCAAATTTTGACGTTTGAGTCTGTTTCTTCTCTTCAAGAACGACGGGATTACATACAGCACTAATGTAGTACTGTACTTAACAGTCTTCATGCAAAGTGATGCTGCTGCCAATGTTGCAGTCAGTGTATTAAGTGCACCTACTATAGTCTTTACATATCAGTGTTTAAGCTTCCTTGCACATATATGAATGCATTAACTGACATAATTAAAGGGAGCATTTATAGTAAGCACTTTCTCTGTCTAATCCTGTCAATGCAAAAGTCTATGATTGTTTAGTCCAAATAAAATGTATAAAACATAATAAAACGTACGCTTCTTAGAAATTTAACAACATATGGACAATGCTGCAGCAATTTGGTGCCAAATTTGTTCTTTAAGCATGTTATTGACCGCACCATGTGTTTACTAAAATCAAAGTTAACTTTGGTGACTGAGAGATTTATGTATTATGTATTCCACATATGTTTCATGTGCAAAATCCCCATGTGACTAATATGTATTTATGGTTTATGGTTTGATAGGGACAGATACAGTAAA